GAATGAGGCTAAAGCAGAAATGCTCAAACCCCAGCTGAAAAGCTGAATATGCCTCTTGAAAGTTATGGGTTCCCAAAGACATATTTATGCATAGACATTGAAGTTTGCATATAAAACTATTAATAATTACACAATCCCCAACTGGCTCCTAAGAGAAACTGTTAAATGTTACATTGCTTGAGACACTGTTTCAGGCTACCAAAGAGAGGTGTGAATTTCTCCCAAAGCCTAAGGTTGCCATTTCAAAGAAGAGATTTTTAAATTTCTGTACTCTGCTACAGAACAGCTGGATCACTTATTCTAAGGGCATATGCAAAGTGCTTATCAGGAAAGGGCAGAAGAGCAATAATTTACAAAGAAATCCTACTGCCTTTTTTCCATCTACAGAGTGAATGGAGTAGTACCTTTACCACCTAAAATATTAAATTACTATGTAAGGGTCTGATCTTTTCAGCAACTCTTAAGATAACTGGAATAAGAACCTTTGCAGAACAAGGACTTTGGGTATTGCAGGTGCTGTTTAAAACATACTGTAGGCCCTTCTACACAGCAAATCAGACCTGGTTAGATTACAAGACAGTCCTGAATATGAGATTCTTCCAAGCATGGTGTCCGAAAAAAAAGGAATCTGAGCTACTGGTTTCCCTTTATCACTGTTTTTGCTGGGAAGAAAAGTCTTCCCAGGCACAGAAAGAATCACTCTAGTACCTTCCCTCTGTGTGTGGCTGCAATTTGGAAAAGGCTATTCTGGACTGCCTCATCAGTTATGTTGCAGCAACCTGGAGACAGAAGTTCTTGCCTTTCCTGCACTGATGTGAAAAATTCTTTAATTTGCACAAAAAGCATCCTGGTGTAGGCAGGTTTATAATGGTGCCTTCTAGCCAGCAACTGGTTGTTGAAGCATCTCTAGAAGGAGACCCAGTGGGTCTAAAGCTGCCCTCCTAACTGAGGTTGGGTGTCATGAGAGGTTCCTTTGGAGACTAGCATTTCCCTTCATAGGAGTTTTATTGTACTTCTGTTTATGTAATATTTCAACAAACATTCTAGATTGCCCCCAAGAAATCTTCACAAACTTACCAGGGACTTCTGTGAGAGAAACAAGGAAGAGATTAAAACATTAGTTTAGTAAAATATCCTTTGGAGGAATATTTGGGGCTCATGACATGAGACAATCTTTTGTAATGCAGGCAGAAGAAATAGAAAGACACTTCAGAAAAATTGAGAATCACCACAGAATTAAGCCAAACATTTACAAAGCAGTAAAAGAGTATCATATCTCTCCAAATTACTTGCCCTTCCTTCCATTTCCATTGAATGATAGAACAATACAATCATTTAGGTTGAAAAAGACCTTTACATCCTACCATCAAAGTAACACTACCAAGACCATTCCACTAAACATTGTCCCTACATGCCACATCTACACAGCTTTGAAATGCAGCCAGGGATGGTGACAACTTCCTGGGCAATCTGTTCCAATGCTTGTCAACCCTTTCTGTTAAGAAATTTTCTGCTGCCCTTCTCTGGACATGCTCCAGCATCTCAATGTCATTCTTGCAGTGAAGGGCTCAGAAATGAACATGGGACTTGAGGTGTGGCCTCACCAGTGCTGAGAAGAGAGGAACAATCCCTGCCCTGGTCCTGCTGGCCATGCTATTGCTGATACAGGCCAGGATGCCATTGGCCTTCTTTGGCCACCTTGGCCCACACTGGCTCATGTTCAGCTGCTGCTGACAAGCACCCAAAGATCCTTTCCCACTGGGCAGCTTTCCAGCCATTCAGCCCCAAACCTGTAGTGCTGCATAGGGCTGTTGAGACCCAAGTGCAGGACCTGGCACATTGCCTTGTTGGAACTCACAGAACTGGCCTTAGCCCATAGATTCAGCCTCTCCAGATCCTTCCTGTCCAGAGCTTTCCTGCCCTCCAACAGATCAACACTCCCACTCAACTTGGTGTTGACTAAGTGTGCACCCGATCACCTCACCCAGATCATTGACAAAGATATTAAATCAAACTGGCCCCAACACTGAGCCCTGGGAGACACCACCAGTGACTGGCTGACAAATGTGTTCAGCTCCATTCACCACCACTCTCTGGGCCCAGCCATCCAGCCAGGTTTTTATCCAGAAAACACATCTAAGCCATGGGAAGCCAGTTTCTGTGAGAATGCTGTGGGAAACCGTGTCAAAGGTTTTATTAAAGTTTAGGTAGACAACACCCACAGCCTTTCCCTCATCCACTAAGGAGAGCCACCTTTGCCACAGAAGGAGTTCAGGTGCGTCAAGCAGGACCTGTCTTTCACAAACCCATGCTGACAGGGCTCAATCCCCTGGTTATCTGGCACATGCTGCAGGACAGCACTCAAGGTGACCTGTTCCATGATCTTCCCTGGCCCCAAGGTCAGGCCAATAGGCCTTTAATTCCCCAGATTCTCCTTCCGGCCCCTTCTGCAAATGGACATTGCATTTATTCATTTCCAGCACACTGGGACCTCCCTGGTTAGCAAGATCTGCTGACAGATTCAGCCAGGCACTGCCCCTGGCTGGCTCCCTCACCAGCTGGGTCAGAAAATAATCTTCCACACACTCCAGGAACTTCCTGGACTGTTTCCTCTCCCCTGTGTTGTATTTCCAGCAGACCTCTGCTAAGTAAGTTCAACTTACCTCTCTGGTAAGCTCAAGCTCACCACAAGAACAAGGGCTAGCAACTGTGAGACTTCCCAGCTGCTTACAGAATATTTCTTCTGCCTCCTCATCCCAGGTGAGTGGCCTACAACAGACTCTCACCATGGTATTTGCTTTGTTGGCTCTCCCTCTGATTCTTACCCTAAACACTCAACTCTGATGTCACCATCATCGAGGTCCCCTTTGCTAATGGAACTGCAGCCTATGACAAGGGCTGGAGAACAAGCCTGTGCTTGGACACTTCCTCTCTCCTCCGCAGCATTTAGGATCCAAAGTCTTCTCCCATCCCAGCTCAACACCTGGAGCTACGGCATTGTCTCATCTACTCGTTGTTTGTGCACAACTGCCTGGGAGATGAGCAGATGTAGACATTGACCAATTTATTGCCAAGATTAAAAAACTGTGGAGAAGCAGGTGATCAGCCGGAATTGAAAAGAACACGGGACAACTTACAAAATCATTTATTTGGGAGTTGTGCTATGTATGTTAAGAGGGCAGCAATGCAGGGATTCTGTCTCCATGTGTAAGTTAGAGTTTTTTACAGCTCTGATCAGACAAACATTCTTGCCTAGCTCGATGAAAACTGATTTGCACACACATTTTACATCCATTAATTATTCTTCTCCATATTTCCATATTTTCTGCCTGTATTTTCTTTCAATCTTACATCTACCTCTGCTCCATAATCCTCTTTTTACAAGCAGTCTTTATGCTTGGTTTTATCCCCCCTGTAATAAAAGCAAGGGATCTTCATTAAAGTTATGACAGAAATTATAAGCAAGGAGGCAATATCGCTCATTGTCTCAACTCAGATTTTGCTCTCTTTGACCATGCAGCCCTCTATCCCCAAGTTCTGTTTATCCACATTTCTTTTCCTGCTATGACATGCTATTCACTGTAGTCAGTCAAATATGGCTATTAATGGGACAGCTGCACACAGTGAGACAGTACAATAGCCCAGCTATACTTCCTATGCATACATTTATATTACTTAAGGTTGTCAGGGTATTTGTTTGTTTACATGAAACTCAAGGTTCAGTGGAGGAAAAGGCTTGGTGAAGAGGTCTGAACAATACGTGGAGGAAAAATTGTATATTCCTTAATAAAAGAAGCTTGCGAATAATTAAATTAAGCAAAAAGGTGACTGCTTCTGGCTTGCTGAAAAGACATCAGTGTATCCACAGAAGGGAATGGAAACAAATGCATGAAGAAGTAAGCACTAGAACCCAGTCCTTGACATAGAGCTGAAAATAACAGGTCCTGTCCTGGAGCTGGGTACTGAGAAAAGCAGGCCTTGTGGATTTCAGCAGGGGATAAGTACAGTAAACGTGCTCTTTCCTGGCTCCCTCCTAATGCAGTGCTGTATTTTGGCTTCTCTCAATAAATACTCCCATTTGCTTAGGCTGACTTAGCTTGAGATGATTTTGAGAGAGATGATGAAACACATCAAGGCTACACTTTTACAGGGTTGTAAACCTTTCAAGCAGGATGCTGGATTGTCTCTGCACTTACCAGCACTGCAATACATATGCTGAGGACAAGAGGAGAACAATAGGGTATGTCTCTGACTCTGAACAGCTGGCAACACTGGAACCTGGGAGAATTAAATGGTTTTAGTGGTGTGCTAGCCAGAAAGTGCTCTGCTTTGTGACAGGGTAGTAGGGGAACTTTTTTGTAATCATCTCCTTATAGAGTTACTCTAAAAGTGTCCTTTCTCAGACTGACTCTGAAATACATTTTCAAGGAGCTGTGGGAAATGGGAATAGGTAGGGAAAGCTATTTTAGGTGCTTCAAATCCAGACCCCTTTATCAACTTATTAAGAGGACCAAACAGCAACTTATTTCTATTCACATGTGTTATTCTGTTCCCTTCTTCTTCCTCCCTGGTTCAAGAATGATCCCAACTTCATTCATTTTCAGTGGCTACATGGAACAGTTAAATTGAAAGTAATAATTAAGTTTTATTATTAAAAAAAATAATAAAGCCCAAGTTCTTCCAAAAGGTATTGAACAGTACATAACTACAGCACGCTCATAATTCTTTATCATCTACTGTACTGTCAGGCTCTCACCTGCCCCAAATAATCAGACCAATAAACCAAACTACATAGACAATCAGTGTTGTCAATTAATCTATACAGAACATCATTGAGAAAAGAGATCACAAAGAGAACAATTACATTCAAACACCAAAAACTGAAAGAGTGAAAACATTTAACAAAATCTCAGCTAGCCCTTTCACCCACACTGTATTGCTTGCCTCATCATTCTCCCCCCACCCCTCAAATAAGGACAGTAAAAAAATCATTAAAATACCTTTGAACTTGTGAAAGACGGCCCATAGTTCAGCAATGTCAGTGGCAAATGTAATGTCTGTGTCGAGGACAATGACTCGCTCAAGATTGGAAGGTAGAGTCTTAGTCAGAACCAACTTCATCAGCCCGTAAATCCCAGAGTAGTGTTTGTTGGGGATCCAAGACACTTCAGACTTGACAGGAAATGGGAAGTCGGAAAGAGGAAGAAAAAATAATCTTTATTAGAAAGAGAAAATTTTCCTGAAATTAGTTTCTTGTCATAGTGGAAGATCTCTGAGGTGGAAAGTCATCTAAAAGCCTGCATTTAAATTGACTTCAGAAGTGCTGAAATATACTAGTTTCTGAAAGCTTGGGGAAAAAAAGCTCTTTCAGGCAACCCCTTCACACAATATAACTAAAATTAGTTGAGCCTTTCTGGTCTGGCAGAATTCATTTGGAGACATCCATGTGTCCTTATAAAACTGAAATACATTTTTAGTCTAAAACTTCAGGTGTATCATACATTACTTTAATTTCAACCAAAAAAGAAGTTGTCATCTCAAAATTTTCTCTGATGCAGAAGTAACAAACATGATATTTTCCTTATATTTTTTATAGATTTGGTGGTCAGAATTTCAAAAGGCCAATTATTTGAAATAATGGGCCAGAAAACTGCAAAAAAATTGTTTCTTACAAATGCGAATTTTCCTTAAGCCTTACATCTTTAACTTAAAACTACTGAGGTCCCACAGACATGCTCAAAAGTAGAGAAATTTACAGAAAATTGTCAACCACACTTTTTGGTTTTATGTACTGAATGTGACAAACTCAAACATTTTCATTTCTTCAGTAAGAGCTAAAAAAAAAAAATTGTACAGCTTGTAAAATAAAAGTTGGGAGGCTAAGTTCCATAATGCATTGTACTCTTGACATTGGGATATTCCATGAGCTGTGTTTAGTTTTCTTTTTGTGAGACTCAAGTCCTCAAATTTCAAAAGTTTCTGCTTAAAGTGGGATATTAGAAGTTTTTGAGAAGTTCCTATTTCCCTGTCTGAAACTCCTTGTTTGTTTTAAGAGGCATGCACTACAATTCCCAGATTTTATGTCTTCCCTGGAGTAGTGCTCTCAATAACTTAAATTAGTATTTTGTCTACAAAATCTTGAGTGAAACAGATTGCAGGATTTGTCCTGGCATGTTACGCTTTGGAGAAAGTAGGCAGAAACTCAGTGTATTCATAAAACTGAGGAGATTTATTCTGTTACTTAACTATCTTATATCTATTCACTGCCATTGTAAATTTTATTCTATGAAATAACATTTGCACAAAAAAAAAAAATTCCCCCAAAATCCTTAGAGAAAACCTTCTGTAAGAGAGTGAGTTCCTACATTTCGAAGTTGGAAGCATGGTTGAAGAAAGGCTAATAATAGGTGCTTAGAGCACATTTCTTTTTGAATATAAAGTAACAAGGCCTCTGATGATGTAAGCTGACCTCCTCTATTCCCTTTTAAATGGCACACAACTTTTCTCTGTATTCTCAGGATTCCTGTACCAGGGCAGAGCTCTCTCCCACTACCAAGTTCATTAAAAAGACAGAGGGAAGTAGAACAAACCTTTAAGGAGAAAGAAAAGAATTTCAGGGGAAAGGCAGGAAAAGCAGATTCTCATAGAATAAAACCAGAAAGTGCAAACTGAAGCATGAAGTTTTGGTTGGTTTATTGAAAACTCAATGCTCCCCAGAAATATCTTCTGTGTGTAATAGAGATAATTTCAAATTCACACCCTCACAACTCTACTTATTTGTGGTCCATGCTTTCCCACATCGTGGCTTTTGGAATGGACCATCACATCATGTTGTATTTAATTTATACAAAACAGTATCTACTTTGCTTCTGCAAACCATACTGTTCTGAATCTGCCACTTGATATCCTTGTGCTAGACCAGTCATACCTGACATGTTAAAAGTGTTAGACATTTACAGACTTGAGCTTGCTTTTACCCATTGCTATGTTATTAATTTTGGATGGCATGTCCTTCATTTTATTAGCTGAAATATTTCTCCAGAAAAACACCCACTGTGCTTATGCAAATAAGTTTAATAAGGTAGGGGTTCATATGTTGCATGAATAGCCTGACACAAGCAGGGAAGGTAAAGGGTGGCTGGAAAAGCAAATCACCTTCAAAGTGCAGTTGTTTTCTTTGCTCTCAGGATTCCCAATTTCTAACACCATGTATCTGGTGTTAGAAATTGGGAATCCTGAGAGCAAAGGATTGCTCTCCATGTATCACCACAGAGAAGAAACCCATGTCTGGCAGTTCCTTCTGATCTGGCACACAGAAGGCAAAAGCTTGCCATCCTGAATCCTGATGTCTGAAGGCACCACTTTTTAAAATGAAAGGGGCAGCCCCTGTTCCAAATGGTCCATCACAGCTGGCCAGCATGTGCTGGATTTGAGGACATGTTGAAGCCTGGACTCCCAATCAGTCCAATTTATCCCCAGTTTCCTCTCCTGTGATACAGAGTTGACTAAGATGCAAACGGAGATCCTAATTAGCCCCCAGCATAATTTCTTCATGGCTTTGCTATTCAAGAATAATGTAGCAGTTCCAAATTCACGGTAAGGAAAACTCCTTGCGCTACGAAAGAGCTGTGAAGGCTCATTCTCTGGCTCACCACATTGCGTGAGGAAATACACGGGCACGGTGTTGGAGCAAGTCCTTATCTTGGTTTTGGCCACAACCTGGAGGTTATTCTGTATCATGTCAAAACCTTGCAGGGAGCAGGGGGAAGGGACTCTGCCTTCTGAGAAGAAGAGTGTGGCTTCTGGTCAAAAAAAAAATTTTTCTAAATATTGTCTAAATACTTTCTGTAAGTTTTAATACAATTTTGTTTGCCTAGCATAGTTAAAATGGCCCATATATGGCATGTTTGTGAATCATATGCTAACAAGCTAGATCAGAGCTGGCTTCAGAGAACAAATATTCCTAGAAGATACATCAGCAACATTAAAAAATAGAGTTAGTAAAAGAGAGTGAAACAAAACAGTGTGACATACTTTGCCATTTGTGTAATTCCTAGTTCAGCAGAAACATCACACCTTGGATCTCTAGCTCTCAAGATCTGTGTTTTTGTTCATGAGAGAAGAACAAAGAAAAGCATTTAGCTGGTACTTACACTGATTCTTTTAAGTGAAATAGTCTACTCACTAAAGGTCCTTCATCAGAATCATCTTTATTATTTTCGTAATTGAAAACTGAAAACAAACTAAAATATCTAAATTATTTGAATATAAAAATCACAAGCCCATGAGTCTGCATGCAGCACGTAACTGATCACCTGATAAATGCCAGAGAGATGGGAGCAACAGTCTCTATGTTCAGGAATACCTCACCAGCAAGTTCTCTTCCCTAATTGTGCTGAATCCCTGGGAAAAGCTGACCAAATCACAATTGCTGTGCACAGCCTGACTCAGCTTTCTCACAGCTGCTACCAATGTATAAATGCTCATTAAAGTAGTGTCATTTTTAACAGAGAAGTCTCATACATAGAGCTTAAAATGTTTCCTTGACTGAGAGAGGGGAGAATGGTGGCTCATTCTCTGTGAATGAATTGTATAGTGGCTACGTTCCCAAGCATTTAGCTATTTTCATTTTTTAAAACACTTGAGTCTAATTGCTCACACATTACGATCACCAAGCACAACTCTTGTATCAAGTCATCACAAATACATCAAGCCAGACTTTGACTCTTACACTGTACTTCTTTATGGAACTGCATGACTTTTTTAATATGTTCTTTTTTTCCCACAAAGAGATGATGGGGCAACTTGCCCAGGCTTCCCCGGTGAATACTGACTGCTCCACAGATGTAAGTGAAGTATCTGTACAAGGACAGGTCACCTCAGCCTCTTTGAAAGGGATGGAGGCTTGGACTTACACACTTAGCATGAAACAAGTCTGGAAAACAGTACCAGCATGAACAGAATGATAGTGACCAACACAGAAGGACAAAAAACTTTGGAGCTTCTGGCACAATACTTTGTGTATTGTGTCAGATCAATCACCCACTGAGCTCAGTAGCTGGCACCATACAGTAGATGGTGGCAGGTGCCTACTGAAGAATATAAACCCAGGGGAATTCTATACCAATACTGCTCCCATATATATTTTCATCCTGCAGTGAGTTGCACCAAATTTTGGAGCTACTGGTGGTATTATTGTTGGTTAATAAATTTTGGTGGATTTTTCATCTGTGAATTAGATCAAATTAGGATACACTTTCATATTTGGTAAAAGTCCAATTCATTATATTGAATATATATATAAATAAATATATAACATATATACATCTCATATATATATAACATATATATAAATATATATAACATATATTATATATATTATATATATTATATTATATATAATATATATAATATATATAATATATAATATATATATATTACCAAGACACTTTGCAAATATGACTTTGCTGCACTCACCCTTCTCTTTTCCACATCACTAAAATCATGATAAACAGAGCAGTGAGATGAAGCACAAGAAAAGAAATGATGTAATTTGCTGTCTTACCTTAATACATGTTTACATGTACACAAAGTGAAGCATCAAAACAGTAGCCAGAGGAAAGATAAATTAAGGCTATATGGGACTGTAGGACTGTATGTAATGTTTCTCTTATAGTTTACCAGCTTCTCTGAAGCACTAGAGGTTGACAGAAAGCCTAATAGCCTGATTTGCTACATGCTTCTTGGATTGGAAGGTGATATATAATAGTACCATTAAAAAAAAACTCTCAAAACTTTTAGCTAGCAACTGCACAAACTTAAGACTGCATTTCCTTTCTATAAATAGAAGTTTCCCTTCTAAAAGCATTTCCCCCATTAAAGACTTCTGATTACTTCCCTACCAGAAGAAAATTCTATCCTGACTTTTCCTGATGAATAGGTTGTACTCAATACAGCATCACAAAATCACAGAACAAGCTTTGAAGGTACCTCTGGGAGTCATTTGGTCCAACTTCCCCCTGACAAGCACGGCCACCCAGAGCCAGCTGCCATGTTCAGATGGCTTTTGACTATGTCCAAGGATAGGGACTCCACAATCTCACTGGGCACCCTGAGCCAGTGCTTGGTTACTCTCACAGTAAAATAATGTTTCCTGATGTTCAGAGGGCTCC